TATACATAAACCAGAGTTACACTCTGATAAGCAACTTTGTATCTATATAGGATTTCCTATCTCCATTAGGGAAATACTACAAATTAACTCTGGTTTACCTCCATTGGGAGTAGCAACTTTGAGAATCCTAGTGTAGATCAGCCACCAGATGACATCACATTTTAAGCACCGGAAGATTTAACCAAGCCCGGACAAGATCTAGTCAACAGGGTACTTGAAATGCGGTTAGCTGCCTACACAAGTTTCTCAATATTGTTGTCACTGGTAGAGCTGGACTAGTATAAGTAGTGGTGAGAAATCTTTGCAAAATTTCCCTGGTGTAGATCAGGCCAGAGAGTCAGTGGCAGAGTTGGGAACAGAACTTCACCAGTCCTGGCTCCCACACCTGTGTTTAAACTATATTCAACAAGATGGATAAAAATTGATTTTGTTTTTTGTTTAAAAGAAAATTTTTTACTTTTTTTTCTTTTTAAAAACTGTTTAAAATGAAATATGAATTTAATACAAACTATGTTATGGACTAAATTTATTATCTCTTAAAACTTTTAAATAAAAATAAATATGCTGAAACCATGAGCCTCTGTTAACAACTTTGAGTTAAAGGTTGCTTTTCTATATAAAGAAAGAATCGGGGAAAATTTAATTTTTCAGGTTAAGCTTTATAAGGCATAATAGGTCAGCCTAAGTAATTTAAGAGGCTCTCATTTTCAAAAGAGCAGGAACTTAAGCTCCAGGCACTTTCACTTAAGCATATTTGACAATGTTCCTAGGCTGACTTGAAATCAGTTTAATTCACTTACAGTTAATCCATCTGTTTAATAAATCATTGTTATAAATATGAAACGTATTTTAATCATGTTTTGTATCCAAAACATTTAAGGTTATTTTGTTTAATTCCAGTTAAATCCTAATGCAGCTTGACACAAATGAGCAAAAAGTTTTCTAGTAATTAGGCAATGTATCATTCACCATTTTCTAACATACTAAAAGTATACAGTTAATAAGAATCTGAAAATATTAAGCTATACAATTGCTTAAATAAACATATCATTATAGCGAACCGCCTAGGTAGCAAAAAGATTGACTAAATCTAGTGTAAAGGCTCTGTTTAGTTGTAAATCAACATGTTTTAATGATATCAACCAATAAGAATGCATCTTTCTTTAGAAAATAACTGAAGTACAAATGGAAAATTTGATTTAAATAGATTTAAATCAAGGCTTTCCACTTGGTGATTTAAATTGCTTGATTTAAATCAATCCACACTGTCTTGCTTAGTTTACTTGTTGCCCTGTTTGTTGTCACACTAGTTTGGAACATCCCACGTACTAGTTATTCTGCAAGAGTGGAAAGCTGGTGCATATGGTATCTGCAGAGAGAGAGGGAAAATACTTGCCTTGTAATTCTGCTTCTTTAAAGCTATCGCTGGAGTGTTACTCACCTTCTTCCCGTTATAGTTTAGGCATCTTCTTATGAGGTAATGTTCTTTTACTTTTATATGTCATACAGCTAAATGTGAGGGCATACACCTAGGAGCAAAGAATGTAGGTCACATAGGATCAGGGGACTATATATTTGAAAGTAGTGACTCCAAGAGAAATGTTATGGGTCATGGTGGATAATCAACTGAACATGAGCTCCCTGTATGGTGGGGTGGCTAAGAGAGCAAATGTGATCCTTGGATTTATAAGTGAGGGGAATATCGCAGAAGTAGAAATATTGCATTGGTGAGACCACGGCTGCAATACTGTGCCCATTTCTGGTGTTGACACTTTAAAAATGATGTTGACAATTGGAAAAAGTTCAGAAAAGACTGACAAGAACATTTGAGTTCTGGAAAACCTGCGCTGCAATAATAGACTAAAGAAGGTCAGTCTGTTTAGTTGAACCAGAGAAAGGGGACTTGATCACAGTCTAAGTACATGGAGGAAGATTTCTGATGCTATAGGATTTAGTAGACAAAGTCATAACAAGATTCTGTGGCAGGAGGATGAAGCTAGATAAATTCAGATGGGGAATATGGCATACGTTTCTAATAGTGAGGGTAATTAACTATTGAAACTACTTAGGGATGTGGCGGGTTCTCTGGAGTTTTTAAATCAAGAATGAATGTCAAAAAGGCATGCTTTAGTGCAACCAAAAGTTATGGGCGTAAAGCAGGAATCACTTGGTGAAATTCTGTCAAAGCTGTTGTACAGGAGATGATTATAGTGGTTCCCTCTGGTCTTAAAATGTATGAATCTATGTATATAATTTTATTTTTTGTTTATCTACAGAGGTGCTTGGTTATACAGACTCTCTCCCTATATATTCAAAACTAACGTGTCAATGTAGGTTTCATATGAACATGTCTCTCAAAAAAACAAAAACAAACCCAAAATAAAATCAACGCCACACCCAAACCTAGACAGGTGAAAGCATCAGTAGGCTGTGCAGATCATGCACACCCTGTGGTTCAAATGTTCTGCTTCCTGTTGTGTGGAGAGGTTAGCAATTCAAACACTTCAACTGCTAGACTTCGCTGGAAGGAAGTTTCATACTATGTGAAGAATGTGTAAATAGCACAGCTCTGCTCTCCAAGAATGAATGGTTCGACCTTTTTAAGATTCAAATTACTTTTTTGTGTCTTCAGCTTGGTACTTGAGATCCATATTGTTGCTGGTTGTTGTTATCCCAAAGCAAGAACTGTACTGACAATCCTCACAATCCAGTGCTATATAGTGGGGTTTCTGACATTAAACAAAAATCACTCTGTTCAGATTGCATTTAAAGACCCTGAGGCATTCTTTGAAAAGAGTTAAGGCAAGTGATGGTTTGTCTGTTTACAGAATGCTCTCACTATCTAAATGCCTTGCATGTATGTGGTACCAAATCTCTAGGCATAGATCCAGGCATCGGAACAGGTGGCACCATTGGAGGTGATTAGTGGTGTGGCCTAAAATATAATGTTTGTATCCTGAGGGAGTATCATGAAGAGAGCTTTTGCAGTCTAATCTGGAATCAGAAGATCATAGTATGTGGGACTGAGAGTAGGGTTCTTCCCCAGGGAAGTGGGGTAAGGTGTTTTTAGGTTAAGTGTATACCTGTAGATATATCAGGAGAGAATGTAAAGGAATAGAAAAAGAAATTAACAAAGTGATAACATGAAATAGTTGTAGGGAAAAGTTGATATTTGTGTTACCCTCTTATATGCCAAGCTAGTTATCTTTGAGGGTGCACTTGATAAGACTTTCTGTTACTGGAATAGGAAAATGCCATGGTGTCTTGGCAAACTCTCTTCTCAGTAAATTACGTTCTAATATTAAAGGCTTTGTGTGTTAGAAGTGGTAGCATCATTCAATAGCTATCTATATAATCACGGTGCTACTAGTATCTATTTTGTACAGCTGTTTTGAGAAACCTTGAGTGTGAATGTTATTGTAGCACCAAAAGTTCTGTTGTTGTGCTACATAGTTGATCCCCCTTCTCCTGCCTCCCCTCCCTTCAAGGTTTTATGAAAGCATTGTAGAAGTAAAAGGTCTGTATGGGAGAATATTAACATTTAATAGAGATTTTCTTTCTGTTTTTTGTTAAAACTGCAGAAGCATTTCAGGGCACGGAATAAATGGGGCAGAAAAGTTAAGCGTGTTGGGCCATTACAGATAAGGGTTCTGTTGGTTGAGAGGAGCAGCTTGCTGTATTTGCTTTCCTGGCACTTGCAATCTTTATTTTGACAGATTGATCCCTCCCAGGTCACCTTATTTAAAACCTGAATATAGGTTTGAAGGTGGAATGCAGCTTTGCCAGTCAGCCAAATAATGCCTATAATAAATGCTGTATATATAAAATAGTAATTCAGGTGTTCTGAATTCTAAATGCATCAGAGCATTAAAGGGAAACTTCATTACATCTTTCATATAATTTCAGTAAATCTGAATAACAGGAATTTTTAAAACAAGATTAATCTGCAAGTTCTATAGTCATGGTGTATACTAAAGGATACTATTTATGCTGTATACAATAAAAAGTAAGTTTAAAGTTCCTTCTCTAATCCTGCAACTCCTAGAAGAAAAGTAGCTAAGAAATGTAATGCTCCACCCCCTTGAACAAAGTTCATGTTATTTTCTATTTCCCTATTACAATGATTTTATGATAGCTTTAACATTTAACTTAAGGTCATCTCAGCAGTTCCAATAAAAATATTTACTAAAGGGAACTTACAATTTAAATATTTTGTGAGCCATTACTTTGCATATTAAATTTCTCCTGCTCCAGAGCAAACTTTTTGACCAAAAAATCTTAAACTTTAAATATATAATAAGTAGTAGGTGTCTGAGCTTTCCCCCCTTTAATCCCTTCCCCAAACCCCACCCCTCTGTCTGCTTGAAACAAAGCAGTGTTCTCTTTCTCTTGCATCATCAGAGCAGCCATGATGTCTATCTTCTCATCTGGCCTTCTGGCTGCAATGAAGGGTGTGTGTATGTCTACTAGCCTACTTCTAGCCTGTTGTGAAGGGGGCAGTTTTTTCTACTTTAGTCCCTAACCCTTTTTCATCTCCCCCACCTCAGCGAATAGCTTCAATATTTGGATCTACTGTTGCTTATGACTCTTCCTAGCAGCAGTAGAATGAAATTAATGTTTGTGAGAGCTTAACTACTGCCTATGGGATTCTGAATAGTAGTAGCGAAAAGTGGCAAGATACTGACAATGGCAAGTTGCTGCTTGGAAAAACTATGTGCATCAGCAAAGGTATTGGAGCTTCCTGCAGACTTAAGAATTCTGTTGACTGCAAATAGAATGTAGTCTCTATGACCATAAGGGCAAGACATTTTTCTAAAATGAAAGCTGAGATTCTGCAAGACCTGTGGTGACTTTCTGGTGAAATTCCCCTGTTGTTCTCCTTCCTCAGAAAAAAATGCCAGAGAAATCTTACCATGGCAGGTAGACTTCTTAAGTGCTGAGTGTGTTACATATAAAGAATCAAAAAAAACCCCTGATAATATTTATGCTTTTTATTTCAGATCTGAAAGTTGAGTTTTGACCAGTTCATTCTTGCAAAAGAAATCTAGAAACTAGAGAATAAAAATGGGGACTCCTGGATCGGGGAGGAAAAGAACTCCAGTAAAAGATAGATTCTCTGCAGAAGATGAAGCCTTGAGTCACATTGCCAGAGAGGTCTGTAAATATTAAATTATCTAACATATAAAGTACAAATGAAAATCGTTTAACTCAGAATGCAGCCATAAAAATTAAAACTGTTTAATGCATAGTTCTTAAAGTGGTAACAATAACTAGTTGCAGGTATTTGACAATTGTTATAAAAATGGAAGTATTTAAATACGTAGTACCTTAAATAAAATGTTAGTCATATATTTTAGCTTAGTTTAAAAGTGTATTGTAGATGTTACTCATTTATTCTAAAGTAATTGGTTACATGTTTTCCAAAGAAATGGCTGTTAGTCCAAAAATATTTTGAAAATCTATATTCATCTCTGCTGTGATTTATACCATGCTTTGGGTTGTTTGTTGAATTCTAGTGGATATTACACATGAAATTCTGTGTTATAACTTTCAGGGGAAGTTCATAATTTTCAAAATTATTCCAGGAATATAGGTTGGGTTTAAAATTTTCTGAACCACAGTTGTTAGCTGAAAATATATTCATTTGTAGGTGACTGGGAGGTGCATATTTGCCAGAGGCAAGCAACTGGAAGTTGATAGGAGTCTTAAGAAGAAGTTGATGCAGGGAGGAATTTGGTCCTACCAAGCATCAGGTATTGGAGATATATAAATAGGAGACTAGGATTTACTGACTGGGAATGGATCTAGTATGAAAAGAACTGGGATTTACTGGAAGGCAAGGACCCTGGTACTCATAGTGCAGAAGGGAATAGAGAAAGATTGAGCCAAATTCTGCACTTAGTTACACCCATGCAATTCTGTTGACTTTAGTGGGTTTGCAATGGTAATCTGAGGGCAGAATTTGATCATCTTTATACTGTGAAACCATAGTAAACAGACAACATCTACATTTAATCACATGTCATAAGATAAAATAGTTACATAATCACATCTTTGGCAGTATAGTAGCAGTTTCTCACTATCAAATATTGGGCCATGAAAGAGCTGAAGTAAAATAATGCTCCTAAACTTGTAGGGTAGTGAATGAGCATAATAGGAGAGCTTACAGTGATTCCTATATTTAGGTTGTCCAACACTTTCCACTACAAAAGTTTCTGGGGACTGTGTTAAGAAAAGTTCTGATGCCTTCATTGTTTACAGCAGGCCTTTGAAATTTGGAAGAGATAAAGTTTTGGGATCAGAAAAATGCCTTTTCTTGGCCTCATGAAATTCAATTCAGGTTTGAGAGAGACTTTTTAAAATTGCCATTTCCCCTTTGTTCCTTGTTGTCAGCATGTTAAAATAACTGAACATGAGCATCCTAAAAGGCTGTGCTATCATCAAAGCAGCAGCAAGAAACTGACTAGGAATACCAGGAGAAGGCAACCTTTCTGGGAGGAGGAGTAAAAAGAGCCAAGCCAGCCAGGCTCCTTGGACTTAGCACAGGGTCCTAGCTACCCATTACCCCTTCTCTGGGGGCATCATGTGGGGAATGATTCCACACCTCCCTTCCCTCCCCACCCCCCAAAACATCTCAGAGAACAGGGGCTTCTCTTTTGAATGATTGTTCATATAAACATTCCACTAATGGTGCACAAGTGCTTGAGTTTGGCCAACAGTTTCCATATGGTGCATGTGCCACCTGAGATTCATATAGTCATAGAAATGTAGGAGTTGAAAGGATTAAGTCCAATTCCCTTTGCTGAAGCAGGACCAGGTAAACCTAGACCATGGTTGACAGTGTTTGTCCAACCTGTTCTTAAAAGCCTCCAATGATAGGGACTCTACTACCTTCTGTGGAAGCCTGTTCCAGAGCTTAACTACCCTTAGGAACCTTTTCCTAATATGTAACCTAAATATCCCATGCTGCAGATTAAGATCATTACTTCTTGTTCTACCCTCAGTGGATATGGAGAACAAGTGATCCCCATCCTCTTTATAACAGCCCTTAACATGTTTAAAGACTGTTGTCTGGTCCCCCCTCAGTCGTCTTTTCTCAAGACTAAACATGCCCAGGTTTTTGTTGTCGTTGTTGTTGGGTGGGTTTTTTTTTTTTTTTTTTGCAACCCCTCCCAGCTTGGTGTCATCTGCAAATATTATAAGCACACACTCCACTGCATTGTCCAAGTCATTAATGAAAATGTTGAATAGTACCAGACCCAAAACTAACCCTTGTGGGACCCCATTGCTTACACCTTCCCAGCTTGACAGCAAATCATTGATAATTTCTGTTTTGAGTATGGTCTTTCAACCGGCTAAGCACTCACCTTATTAATTTTATCTAGATTGCATTTCCCTAGTTTGCTTATGAGAATGTCATGTGGAACTGCACTAAAATCAAGATATACTTAATCTTATTTAGGTGCCTAAATAAGAGCTGACTTCTTTTAGAGCTCTGGCCCCATATGTGAAAAACTGTCCCACTTTGGAAACAGCTAGAGAAGATCTTCCTTTCTCTTAAGCTGTCCTGTGGTTTTGGAGATGAGGTTCTGCACTTTCCCCACTGTCAACTTGAAGTTGTGAGCACGCTTGGTGTATGGCAAATTAACTGCCAAGTTCTATGGGGCCCTGAATTTGATAGAATATTAATTCAGATATTTTGGATTGCACTGGAGCTTCCAATTTCTGTCTTATGGATGCTGTAGTGAAGACATCATTCTGTTTTTGTGACATTACAGTGTGTGGTCATGAATATGGTTTACATGTACCTGACAATATCACAGTCTATAAGCAGGGGCATTTAGAAAGAAGACTAAGTGCACACCTGTTTAATTCAGTTGAAAAACATTGGACTTGCAGGGATGTAAGTCTATTTCTTCCCCTATTCACTAGGCCAGTAACCCTGTCAAAGAAGGAAATTAGGTTGATTTGGCGTGATTTGTTTTTGACAAATCCACAGTGATTGTTCCTCATAACCCTGTATTTGCTAAGGTGTTTGCAAGCTGTTTAATAATTTATTCCAATATCTTTCCAAGTATTGAAGTTAGGTGGACTGGTCTGTAATTCCTTGGGTCCTTTTTCAGTCCTCTTTTTAAAGATACGTTTGCCCTTCTCCAGTCCTCTGGGACCTCACTTGTCCTCCATGAGTGCTCAAAAATAATTGCTAACAGTTGTGAGATTGCTTCAGCTAATTCCTTAAGTGTCCTAGCATGTATTTCATAAAACCCTGCTGTCTTGAATATGTCCAAATAATCTAAATATTCTTTAACATTTTTCCTCTTTTGGCCTGTGTTCCTTCCCCCTTGTTAATATTAATTGTATTGAGTATCTGGTCACTATTAAGCTTTTAATTGAAAACTGAAGCAAAATAGGCATTAAACACCTCAACCTTCTTGATGTCATCAGTAAGGCTAAGATTTTGTCATGGATTTTTTTTTTTTTAGTAAAAGTCACAGACAGGTCATGGGCAATAAAGAAAATTCACGGAAGCCCATGACCTGTCCCTGACTTTTACTAAAAATATCCATGACAAAATGAGGAGCTACGGGGACCCCAGCTCAGAGCTCCTGGGGGCTCAGAGCTCTAGGGTCCCGTGCCACCAGCGGCTCAGAGCTGTGGGGTCCACCAGCGGCTCACAGCTCCAGGGGCCCCTGCTGCTCGCTGTGCTTGCTGTTTAACACTGTGATTAAAACTTTAATCACGATTAATTTTTTTAATCACTTGACAGCCCTAGTTATTAACTCTTTCCCTGCTAAGTAGAGGGCCTATACTTTCCTTTGTCTTTTTCTTGTTCCTAATGTATTTTAAAAAAACTCCTCTTCTTGCCTTTTCTTTCTCTTGCTAAGGGTAACACATTTTGTTCCTTAGCCTTTCTGATTTTGTCCCTACATTCTTGTGCTGTTCTTTTATACTCCTTGTTAGCATTTTGTTCATGTTTATACTTTTTTAGAATTCCTTTTTTATTTTTAGGTCATTAAGAGCTCCTGTTGGAGCAATGTTGACCTCTTCCTGTTCTTCCTGTCTTTCCTTTGCATTGGAATAGTTTGCAGTTTTGCCTTTAATATTCTTGCCATGAGAAACTGCCAACTCACCTGAACTCCTTTTTCCCTTAGATTTTTCTTCCATGGGACCCTACCTACCAGTTCTCTTTGTCTGTCAGTCTGCCTGTTTGAAGTCCATTATCCTTGTTCTGCTGCTCTTACTCCTTCCTTTTCTTAGAATCATGGAAATCTATCATTTCATGGTCGCTTTCATCCAAATTGCCTTCCACCTTCAGATTTGTTACCAATTCCCCCTTGTTGGTCACAATCAAGGCTGAAATGGCAGTCCCCTTGGTTTCTTCCTCCACTTTCTGAAACAAAAAGTTGTCCCCAATACAGTCCAAGAACTTTTTGGAAATTTTATGTTTTGTTGTTGTTACCAGGTGTTGTGTTTTGGATATTTCTGTTTGTCCTAGAAATGCCTGCTGCTGCCTCCTTCCTTGTCTGGTGCTCTGGAGTAGATCCCAACCATGACGTGTATATATATTTTTTTACCCCTTTTATTTTTACCCAGAGACTTTCAACTGGTCTGCCTCTCACTTCCTTCTGGACCTCTGAACAAGTGTATATATTCTTGATGTAAAATGCAACACCTCTTCCCTTTTTATCCTGCCTGTCCTTCCTGAACAAGCCATAACCCTCTATGCCAATATTCAAGTCCTAGAACTTATCCCACCAAGTCTCTGCGATGCCAATTAAATTATAATTTATTTTACAGACTAATGCTCCAGTTCTTGTTTGTTTACCCATACTCCTTGCATTCGTGTATAGACCTCTAAGATGGTAAGCAGTTTCCCCCACTGATTTCCTTTTTATTGCTCCTGTGACCGTATTGTAACTTTCAATGTCACCCCAAACAACTATCCCTCTGTTAAGACCACTTTTTTATGCTTACCTGTGGACTTTTGTCACTTGCCCACTTTGAACCTAGTTTAAACCCCTGCTGACCGGATTGGCAAGTCAGTGTGCGAAGATGCTCTTCCCCTTCTTGGTCAGGTGGACCCCATCTGTTTCCAGCAAACCCCTTCTTCCCGGAACAGCGGCCCATAGTTGAGGAAGCAGAAGCCCTGCTTT